TTACGGCAACATCAGGTTGAAAAACTGGTTCCTGTAAGATCACCGGAGTTAAGTAACATCGACCCTGGTCAGTACTTAAATGGATGACCGCTTGGGAATACTAGATACTGCAAACTTGGATGTGCGGTTGGTGTAATGGATAATAGCTCGGAATTGTTAACCAGAGAACTGGGTTCCAATTCTCGTTCGTTTCGGTATTTTCACTTACGCGCAAATACCCTTGGGAAAGGTATTAATCATTAGTAATACTTGTCTCCCGAAACCATTTTCACCTCAAAAGAAATGTTTACAATCTAAAAAATATTTTCTGACTTTAAATAAGGGTTGATAAGCCATAGAAAGCGAATCAATCAAAATAAGTTTTACTATTTAATCGACAACTGGGGACGAGGGGAAGTGGTGGATTTATACACAAAGGTGAATGTAACAAGCCCGACTGGAAATCGAACTCGGCTCTCCTGTATCCATTAAACCCCCCACCCTGCGATCACCCATCTAGGTACTGACCAAATTCAACGTCGCTTAACTTCGGTGATCGGACGAGAGCAGGGATGTTAACGTGATATGGCTATAAGTCTTTCAAGACTGTCATTCTCTAGAGGGGTGACTGCTTGAGAATACCACCAGCTGCTGTAAGGATAAAGGATAACGGTCCAGAATTGGAAATCGAACAAGAAACCCGAGTTCGAATTCCAATTGGGTTCGTTATATTCGCTTACTGGCAAATACCCTTAGGAAAATTTAGAATCCACCTCTTCTCCCTTCCCCCCAGATATGGGTTAATTACTATTATTAATTGATTGATGCGTTTTCTACGGCTTATCAGCCTTTTGCATGTTATTTAAAGCCAGAAAATATTTTTAGATTGTAAGAATTACTGACTGAGGTGGGGAGATAATAATATTTTAGCGATAAACGTCTTACTAATTAATCCATAGTTGGGGAGAATATCTTTCCCAAGGGTATTTGCGCATATGTTAATATAACAAACCCAACTGGAATTGGAACTCGGCTCTCCAATTAAAAAAATTATCCATTACACCACCCGCACATCCAAGCTTACAGCACCTGGTATTCTCAAGTTGTCACCCATGTAGTTTCTGACTATGTTCAATGTTGCTTAACTTCAGTGATCGTACGGGAACCTGCAAAAGGTTGATAAACTGTAAAAAAGCATATCAATCAACTAATCAATCAATCAATCTGACCTAAAATGAATTCGTGCGGCCAATTCTTGGCTGGAATTTCCCAGAAGCGTCTTCGCAGCTTTGTGGGTGATTAATTATTTCCCATTATACAAGCCCTTTCCCCGCAGACGACATGTTGCAAGCCTCTCGTTACTCTCTCATTATCTCCATGCCAGATGGTCAGACGAACAACATTCCGTCGTTCCACCATTTTTTATCTTCACAGTTATTATCCGTCATGTCAAACTGGGACGAATCGTCACCATTTCCTTTTGTATTTTATTTGTAAGGAAAAAAGTTCCATTCAGAAAACAACTCGGCAGCCACTGGTCTCTGGATGCTTCCCTGGCACTTCAATCATAATATCTTCAAATTTAGGATCAACCATTATCTATCCTACCTGTCCTCATGATCTGCTCTTCTTACCACCTCCCCTTTCCACAACCATAATCAGTAAACCATCTCCCTTGGGTGGCTCTTGAGTCTTGAGCTTCATCATTTTCTTCCTCTTCCGTTAGTAAGAAATAACTTCCATTCGTACATCTTCACAATCACCCGCTTTTTTGTGGAACAAACTTCCAAGAGTCCTGGGTATGACGATAAACTACACTTGGCAGCAAAGTATCTGATCGGAAGATGTTGTGGGGATCGTGGAACGACCTCTTAATTGCTGTTGTTCCGAGGCCCTACGCTGATCAGTGGTGGTAGCACCTGTTAGGGCCCCAGCTAACAAAAACTAACAAAAAAAAAAACACAATGAAAGTATAAAAATACATTTTTATATTAAAAATCCCGGCAATAATTTTTATGTAAAAAAATTAGCAACAATATTTATTAATAGTAAAATTCGCAATATTACATTTTATCTGTAGTTGAAGGTTTACAGTTACCTTCAAAATATTTTTAGTTGAAGCCATCAAATTTGTCAAAATATTTACATTCCAGCATTAAATAACCCATCATGGTGTTGATGTGCCACTAAACAAAATCAATCAACCAAACAACAAAAGAATTCTTTCATGACATTAATCCATATAATATCCGACAAAAATCAAACCGTATTCCAAAATATAACTTCAACAAACCTACAACATAAAACACACATATCACTGCCTGTAGTAATTATGTCCACACAAAATTGTATATGCATAAAAGCTGAGTAGCATCTACCATGTATTCAGATGTGAAAGCAGAATAATATATTTTTATTTCTTCAAAGCTTCCAAGGAAATTAAATTTCGGCATATAAGGAGATGATATGCCATTAAACAAACAAATCAATCAATCAGACTCCCGAGAGGATGCTTTCCGATCACTATAATCTTAACCTCTTCAGGTTGACTTGTTATCTTTCCTACATATCCTCATAAACTGACTTCTCACTCCCTGCTCTTACGCACATGCAACAACCTCAATCAGTAACCCTCTACTTTGATCGGCTCTTGGGCCTTGTTTGGGAGTGACGAATAGGTAGAAAAAGGGATAATTTAAGTTCATGTTCACGATGATGCATCCTGCAAAATATTAGTCTCATTGCGACATGATATGTGGGTTTGTCTAGGACAGTAACCATTATTCTTCAGGCTTTTCCTACTCCTAGACTGGTTGCCAACCAAGGCGAGGAATTCCGGTTATTCCTGCGATTTAAACCAAAGTTTTAAAAAGAAGAGTTGGATTCATGCCTTTCACAACAGAATTTGTTGGGAAACTGAACTCAAAAACCTAGACCCCAATTTAAACTCAGCACACTGATTCCACTTTCCTAATAAATACGCTTTGCGTTAAATCCAATCTTATTTTAACTGAGCAAAAATTGGTCTTGCATTAGTTTGTGTGATAAGATAATTTTGTTACGGCAATATTCTTAGTAGAGAGGGCTTACATACACAGAAATCTAAATCAGGGCTTTTAACAGGGATTGAACCTCTACCAAGAAATTTTCCCCCAAACATCTTGATATTTACTAAGCATAGCTTATCATGATATTACACCAAACGGTAGAAAGATGATGACACACCAGTTTTCCAGATAGGAAGTTGTGGAGAGTCATGATCTCCAACGTCCAGAAGAGATGTAGCGCATAAAAGAAGAATATGAATATTTCAGAAATATTAGGCTAGAAATATAATAATAAATATAATGTGTCATATCCCTTCAGGACGTCGATGTTCATGTCTCTCCACAATTTCCTGTCCGTGTGTAGCTCTTAATAACGGTTGTCTTTTTGACATCTCTCCCATATCCTGCTCCACCAATCATTAACTCAAGCTCATTTGAAAAGTTGTGTGATGCTTTCCTCTGTCTCTCTGTCTCTCTGTCCTGTGAGTATCAAATTTTACAAGCCCTCCATCCTCATTATGTGTACCAGAGACTTGCTTACCTGCCCATAAAGTCAGCATCTTAATCATGGCTTTTATTTAGGCTTAGCTACTTCTAACAAAAGTAGATAGATTTGCCTATCGTCCGCTTCAGTTTTTTGACCAGGAGTAGAGGTTTATCCCTTGTTTCCTGTTTCCTTCTAAAGTCTACTTTCACACTAGACTTCTAACATCTCCTAATGATCTCTAAAATTTTATTCATTAAATATCCTTTTATTTTCCTCTCCCAGTAAGACTAGCTAGGTTCGCTTATCGTACAGTTCACACTCCTCCCTGGTCATCTCCCACACTATACTCCTCTCCGACTGATCTCTGAAATGTTATTCACTCATTAAATCCTAACATCTTCAAGTCTAGAGTGAGCTGCTATCTTTCTTGCATAGCACAAAGAACTTTAATTGTTGCCCTTTATTACGCTCATATAACACCGCACAGTAGCCCTCTACATTGTATGGCTCTTCGGCCTTGTATTTTGTGAACAATCGTTAAAAAACCGAAAAAAACTATATGCCAGTAATTCACCAAAATTTCGATATTGACTAAGCTTAGTTTAGCACGGCATAAGGTCAGATGGTAAAAAGATTATATTACACCAAGTAAGGGGGAGGGCTTACCTGTTTAGAAATTCAGAATCTGAAATCATGGCCTTTCACTAGGATTGAACCCTGATGCCTGGCCTTTTATGGGAAGTAATGCAACTATGAAGCAGACCTCGTCTCGCTATGTATCATATTTCATTGTTATCAGCTCAGGTGGGACCCATGCAAAGATCTTTAAATAAATATTCATGAATTTAATGTTTTTTTTCTTTTATGCGCCAATGAAAATCTTAATTACCTCCCAAACACTTTCCGCGTTGACTTCAGAAGTAATACTATTTCTTACTTTAAAATGGATATAAATTATAGTCAGATCTATTTCTTATATATATATATATATATATATATATATATATATATATATATATATTTCATTTAGATTCCTATGTTAATTACTGAAGTATCGATTGCATTGTGAAAGCTTTTTTCTTTAGAAATTCTGACATTAGTTTCAAATCCGTTTTTTCAAGTCCGTTTTGTATCGGTTGAAATAGTCGTTTAATTCCCACATCGTCGATCGGGGTTCGAGTCTTAGTTAAAAACGCGATATCAAAAACCGATTTTCAAGACTTAGTAAAATGGCCCAATACAATCATTCTACCTGCGTTTGATCTCTAAGCTATCTTTAGAGAATATCAAAATTACATGACACTTGGTTTTGCTGTGTGACTGAGGTGGTTGAGTTTATCCTACTCTTGATAGTTATCAAGCTTATATTAAAGCCAAAACTGAAAATATTTATCTTTACGTTTATAAATCTGACGCAACACAGTCTTTCTATTCCTGCTTGCTTATGTTTTCATACTACCATGAAAAATCGACCCGCCTTTGTGTTAGTGAATGCTGGACAATTTCTTCATAGATGAAGACGAGACTTGAGCCAACAGAGATACTGTTCTACAGAAGGATGTTCAGAATACCATAAAGAGTCCATGTTATGAACGAGCAG